CATAATAGGGGAATTAATTAGAGGAAATATTTTCATATTGCTATTTGCTCTTTATAATAGAAGTGTCAGAGATGAAAGAAAATTAGTAAAACGTATATGAAAATCATCCTCTGGTCAGAGTATAGGGTGTGTTGCAGGACCCAGGGTCAAATCCCTGCCCACCTGTGCCTGCCTTTAAATCTCCTGAGACCCAGACCTGGCCAGCCCTACCCCCATAAAGCCCCACTGGGCAGGGGGGGCGACCTCAGGTCCCCTGGCCTGGCACTGGGTGGGGGGGGTGCAGCCTCAGGTCCCCAGGTGCACACTAGGCAGAGGGCACAGCCTCAGGTCTCTTGGCGCACCCTAGGTCTCCTGGCCCAGCACCGGGGCAGGGGGTGTGGCCTAAGGTCCCCTGTCAAGCCCCGCAAGGTGGGGGGGTGGCCTGAGGTCCCCCGGCCCAGGCTGGGGCTGGGGGCATGCCTTGAGGTCCCCTATCAAGCCCTGCCAGTTGGGGGGGCATAGCCTAAGGTCACCCGTCAAGGCCCGCTGGGCAGGGAGCATCACCTGAGGTACCCTGGCCTGGTGCTGGGGCAAGGGACATGGCCTGAGATCCCCCAGCCTGACACCAGTGCCAGGAGTGCGGTCTGAGGTCCCCCAGCCTGGGCTGGGGCAAGGGCCGTGCCTTGAGGTCTCCTGTCAAGCCCCGCCCGGGCAGGGAGCACAGCCTCAGGTCCCCTGCCCTGGCCCCAGGTCCATACAGCCTCAGGTCCCTGCTGATCGCTGGTTTTGGGAACTCCTCCGCTGTGGGTTCAGCCATCTTGTGAAGGTGTGAGTGTTAATCTGCGTATAAATACCTCTTTGTTATATAGGATTATATCCCTAAGATTCTTGATAAGGTTTATGTAGCTGTAATTTATTTATTGTCACTGCTGATTAATATTTCACTTTGGGAATATAGCAGAGTTTATTCTGTTGGTGGATCTTTACGTTGCTTGCAAGTTTGTTTTCTATTATGACCAGAAAATGTGTCTTTTGGTGTATATTTATAAAAGGGTTCTCCCTTCTGCCCCCTCCCCCCCCCCGTGTGCGTGTGTATTTGTGTGTGTGTGTGTGTGTGTGTGTGTGTGTGTGTGTGTGTAGGTATAAACATTAATACTCAGGAAGACAGACACATGAAATGACAGATATTGGAAAGTACAAGAGGAGGTGGAATTGTTCCCCAAAAGTGTTTTTACCAATATACACTTACACTAGCAATGTATGAGTTTCCATTGCTTTGTATTTTTTTAACACTTGGTATTGTCTGACTTCTTTCTTATTGCCAATTCTGTGACTTTGAATGATTCCCATTGGTCTTATGGACCAAAAACAGCTTTTACCAAGATGTCTCAAATGCATGTTCATTTGGGCATATACAATTCCAAATAAATGATTATAGTTTGTGTGCATGCCAACTGGCCTCCCATAACCTCAGACCCAATAACCAAAGTTCCCATTATCTCTCATGTCAAGATTTCAGCTCATCAATTTACTTCAGGATTATGTAATCTGAGGTGGCCCTCGAACTGTGTGGGCACCAGCCAAACTGGACACTCTGGAACACTGAGGGTACTCAGTGACACAGACTTTTAAAAACACCGTTATTTAAAATTGCTGTTTCTTTGTGTATCCTTGTGGATATACAAGCCTACACATGAGATAAAACTGCACAGAACTAAACACAAACACAAATGAGTACAATATAACAGAAGAACTATGAATAAGATCAGTGGATGTTGTTAATATCAATATCCTGGTTGTGACATACCACAGTTTTGCAAGATGTTACAATTGGGAGAAACTGGGTAAAGGGTACATGGGAATCTCTATTATTTCATACAACTGCATGTATACCTGCAATGATCTCAATCCAAATTTCAATTTTAAAATTCTGCTTCAACACAGAAAATCTATGTTACAGAATTCAACCAATTGATTACTTTTCTAAAAAAATAAAAATAAATAAAAACAGGAAGGAAGAGGCTGGGGAAATGAGAGAAAGAGAAGTAAAGTAGGAATGAATCTGAAACTTCATAGTGGGGGACATTACTAAACACTGGAATCTGAAAATATCCACACATACCCTCAGTGCACTTTCAGGTCACAATGTCAAAGAGTAAATTATTGTTAGAAAACACCTATTAACCCCTGCATTTCATAGACCTAAAAAACGAGGCTCAAAAAATAATTTTCCAAACTTTAAAACCTTTAGAAAAACGACAAAGGAGACTAGCTTTCCAGCTGTGGCATAGGGAAGGATTGCTTAAAAAAGACACATAAAAGAACCAACCATAAAGAAGAAGACTAAAAAGTTAACTACATTAAAGTTAAGAACTTGTTTATCAAAAGACACCAAAAAGGTAAAAGGATGAGTCACAGACTGAAAAGATATATAACCAATAAAGGATTAATATTGGTTATTAATAATATTGGTTATTAATAATAATAACGGAATAGAAAATAAAGACATGAACTAGTACTTCAGAGAGGAAATGTAAGTGGTTCCAAAACATGCAAAGGTATTTAACTTCATCAGTAGTCACAGAATTGGCAATAAGAAAGAAGTTGTTATTAGCAACTAGAAACTAATAGTGGAAAGGAGGAATGATAATCCTAGGAAAACAAGTAAAGACATGACAGAATAGGCATTGATGTATGTAGCTCCATAAATAGAAACTTACATTATCCTCAGGTTGGTTGTCAAGGACATTTGAAGGCTACATTTATGGAGAGCTATGTATACTTTAACTCATGTCTACCTCAAAATATTTAAAAACACTCAGCATCTTCGGTGCAGTTTATTTATTCACTGCTTTATTGCCTTCTCATGACAGGACAAGCACAATGTGGACCGAGTGGTGAATAAAAATAGAAGTGGTTTGCGTCCTATAGAGCTTGTAATCTAATTTACAATGAAAAAATAAGCAACAAATGTACAATTACTTATTTTTATAAGTTAAAAATAAAGACAAACAGATAATAGAATTAGGGTTTGTTTTTGATAGGGTAGCCAATAAGTTCCATGTGAGTAAATAACACTTAAGCAGGTAACTGAAGGAATGAGGGACGTCTGCAAAAGGGGTTGGGAGTAGATATTGGAACCAAATTGTTTCAAGACCCTGAGTTGGACAAGAGCCAGGCACACTAGAAAACTACAATAAAAGGAGGGCAATGAGGCTCAAGGGCACATTCACTGGAGGAAGGGGAGGGAAGTTGGCAGTGAAAGAGGTATAGGATTTTGGGGCACTGTCTTGGGAGCAGTTTGGAGCTCTTAATCTGAACTTCTTAAAGCCATGAGGGTGATTATGAGATGTGGGAGGGTGGTGATCATGAAGTTGCCCACTTAATTCACAAGATTTTTTGAATATCCTACCATGTTTCAGGCACTATTCTATTTGCTAGGGATGCACTGGTGAGCAAAACAGAGAAATTTTTCCGTCCCCATGGACCTTACATTTTATTTCTTAATTGTTTTTTTTTAATTGAGTTTAGTGAGTAAAGGAGAGGGAGAGAGAGACTGAAACATCAATGATAAAAGAGAATCATTGATTGGCTGCCTCCCGCACACCCCATACTTGGGATTGAGCTGGAACTGGGCATGTGCCCCAACTGGGAATCAAACCATAGCCTCCTGGCTCATAGGTCGATGCTCAACCACTGAGCCATGCCAGCTGGGTGGATCTTATATTTTAATACAGAAGGATGTTGTTTGGATAATGGTAAACTGATGTTACAAAGAGTTCCAAAATACAGTGGCCAGTAAAAGGTAAATGTTTGTTTCTGTGGCATGTATTGTACTAACCTAAGGCAAGGAGCCAGTTCTCTAGTCCATGAGGTCATTCAGGATCTCAGGCTAGTGAGGCAGTTCTGCCTTCCTCAGCATTTGGTTTTCAAGTTCCAGACAGCTAGAAGGAAAATGTGTTACAGGGCAAACTTCTTTAGAAAAAATGATCAGAAATTTTCACATATCAGTATTGCACACATCAGTGTTACACACATACTTCTGGAGAAATGTTAGTCATGTGGTCCTCCTTAGCCACAAGGCAGACAGGGAAATGTAGTCTCTAGCTGAAAAGCCAGTTGCTCAGGAAGAAAGGAAGACCAGGTTTGGATAGACAACCAATAGACAGACAGACAACAAAATAAATAATTGTAATATCGTGTATGCTAGTGATGAGTAATAAAGGGAAAATAAAGTAGGGAAGGAGCCTACGAAGTATCAGGTGGTGGAGGTTTCACTCTTTCATAGGGTGAGAAAGGAAGGTTTCTCTGGATAGGTGCCATGTGAATAAAGATCTGAATGAAGTCTGTGAGCAAGAAATGCCCTTCTGAGTTGTTATGAGGTGCCCTAGCACAGTGTTGGTTTTAACATGCTTGAATCTAGGACCTTACCTGAAAAATTTAGATCAAGAGTGGGGAACGTCTGGCCAGCAGGCCTAGTAAGGCCCACAAAATCATTTGGTCTGGCCCTGCCAAGGCATTAGGGGTGAGTTAATTAAATGTTTGACCAAATGTAGCAGGCTAAGTTTTAAGTTGAGAATTTTGTATGGCCCGCGAATGATGTTATAAATATCCAAATGGCCCTTGTCAGAAAAAAGATTCCTCACCCCTGATTTAGATAGTGGTAGGGCACCATTATGCTACTGCACCCTCTGCTCCTACTTTATGGAATCTTCTCCCCAAAGACTCCTTTTCTGTTCCTTCTTCAGAACAAAGCACAAGCATCACTTTAGGAAGACTTCCCTTGACCTCTGCTGAGGTCAGATCACTCAGTCTCACAGGGTCTCGAGGCACATTGTTCTTCTCTTCCTTAGTTCTTTCTATAATTTTAATTGATAATGAATTTTGGAACTAAGTATTAGCTACCTTCCCTTCTAGAGCAAGATTTAAAGGCATGTGTGCTTTTACTTACTCACTGCTGTCTATACTCAGAGCCAGTGTCTAGTATGGTCCTGGGCATTGCTCAGAAATATTTGTTGCTGTTGCACAGTGAACACCCAAATGTGCTTTATAGTTCCCTTGGCTTTGACTCTGTGCTAGAGTCTGTACTTTTCCTTCACATCGAAAGGACTGTCTATCCTATAAATGTATTCAGAAAGTAAGCATATTATTTGAAAATATTTATTGTTAAAGAAAAAAAAGCAGGAAATTTCCGAATCATGTAAATTTGGGTTTGGTAGGTTTTCTTTCTTTCTTTATAATTAATTTATTTTTATTTTTTTATTGTTTAAGTAGGGGTGTCGAACTCAATCAGAGAAGGGGCCAAAATCTAAAATCCAGCCTAAATCGAGGGCCGAATGGTTTCCTGAACAGTCATAAACTGTCATTGTGATGGAAACACAGCGGAGTGCAGTGATGACAGCGCGGTGCGGGCCACATTGCAAGGCCTGGTGGGACGGATTTGGCCCGCGGGCCTTGTGTTTGACACATGTGGTTTAAAGTATTACATATATCTTCTTCCCCCCCCCCCCCACCATTGACCTTCCCTCAGCCTCCCCTACCTCCTGTTGCATGCTTAGAATGTTTAGAAAAAACAATATAAGGACAATTATCTGCAATACATGGGAGCTATAAGAAATGCATTTTGCCGAAACCGGTTTGGCTCAGTGGATAGACGTTGGTCTGTGGACTGAAATGTCCCAGGTTCGATTCCGGTCAAGGACATGTATATTGGTTGCGGGCACATCCCCTGTAGGGGGTGTGCAGGAGGCAGCTGGTCGATGTTTCTCTCTCATTGACATTTCTAGCTTTCTATCCCTCTTCCTTCCTCTCTCTGGAAAATCAATAAAATATATTTTTTTTTTAAAAAGAAAGAAATGCATTTTTCAGGCCTCTTATACAGTCCTATTGCATCAGCAACTCTGGGGATGGGGCATGACTATCTATTTTGTAACAAACCCTCCAGATATGTTCTATAAAAATATTGACTGAAGGTTGACCCAGTTTAAACCTTTCAAAACCAAGTACATTGTTTCTGACCAACAGTTGGTAATAAACTACTTTTCAGTCTCCCACTCCACCCCCTTTTTATCATTAGACGTCATCAGATGTCAACTGAAATGTAAACAAAGTCTACTTGATTAGTCAACCCAGATCTGGACTTTAAAAATTACATAGTACTTTTTTAACCTTTACCCCTCTAAATCTAACTTTTATCTTCTGCCATCCAAATCCAGGAAATTATTGTAGAACTGATAATGCCCATGATTCCAGTAGTGCAGCATTGTTTTTAAATTCTTAAAATTATTTTTATACATGGTCAAAATTATTTTTTGCTAAAGCTTGATTGTTGTAGTTTCCAGATTTCTATCAAAAGCATTTTGAAGCATTACCAAGGTTTAGTTGCACATGTTCTTCTCTATGTTTAGATTCCAGGGCTGTGCTACACCATCAATCTGTTTTTGCTGGTGGATTGACTGCATTGTTAAAGGCCACTCATCCCCAATTTTGCCATTGATTTTAAATTTGCTCCATGTTTGATTCATGGAACTATTTTGATAAAGGCATTCCCTCCCGGTGACTATTAGGTGATCCATAGGGAATTAATAGCAGGTTTCTTGCTCACAGAACACATGGCCAGGCCTCACTGAGTCTCTTTCTGATACTTGGTTTGAATGGAGAAGGGAGATATCAAAAAAAAAAAAAATTCTAAAAACACTTTTAAAGTTGATTTTTACAGGGAAAGGAAGGGGGGAGGGAGAAAGGGGGGGGAGAGAGGGAGAGGGAGGGAGGGAGGGAGAGAGAGAGAGAGAGAGAGAGAGAGAGAGAGAGAGAGAATATGAATCATCCACGTGAGAGTGAAACATACATTGGCTGTCTCCTGCACACCTCTTACATGTCCCCACTGGGGATTGAGCCTGCAATCTGAGCATGTGCCTCAACTAGGAATGGAACCAACAACCTTTCGGTGTATAAGATGATGCTCAAACAAGTGAAACATAAGAAAGAAATTTTAAATGCTTTAAAACTCTATTTATTTCAGAGTATTTTTGTTGTTCACAGTATGACAGATGTCCCCCATTTTCACCCTTTTGCCTTTCTCCACCCACACCCGTCCTACCCCAGGCCTTCCCACAAAAATGTGCAAAGGTAGCACAGAGGGTTTTCATATACCCCACACACAGTTTCCCATATTATTAACATCTTGCACTCTTATGTACATTTGTCAGAATCAGTGAACCAATATTGATACAGTATATGATTAAAGTCCACATTTTATTCTGATTTTTCTGATTTCCTCTGTTTTTCAATTATGTAATTTCTCTGTTTTAGAATCCTATTCAAGATACTTTATTATCTCCTTAGACTCCTCTTGGCTGTGACAATTTCTTTTCTTTTTTTTTAAATACATGTTTGTTGATTTCAGAGTGGAAGGGAGAGGGAGAGAGAGAAACATTAATGATGAGAGAGAATCATTGATACTGCACTCCCCACACGTGAGGATAGAGCCTGTAATCTGGTCTAATTCTCTGAACAGGAATCAAACTGTGACCTTCTAGTTCATAGGTTGATACTCAACCTCTGAGCCATGCTGGCTGGGCAGTTTCTCAGACTTTCCTTGGTTTAGATGATGTTGACAGTGTTGAGAAATATTGGTCAGGTATTTTGTAGAATGTGCCTCAATTGGGATATGTCTACTTTTCTCATGATTATTTAGCTTGAGGCTATTGATTTTCGGGAGGAAGACCAGAGAAGTGAATTGCCATTTTTACCACACCATATCAAGAGTGTGTATTGTCAATATGATGTAATTATTGTGGTATTGATCTTAATCACCTGTCTATGCTAGTGTTTACCAGATTCTTCCACTGTAAAGTTAATGTTTTTCCTCCTTTCCATACTGTGCTCTTTGGAAACAAGTCACTAAGTGTAGCCCAATAGATTGTTGTTTTTAATATATTTTTATTGCTTTCAGAGAGGAAGGGAGAGGGATAGAGAGATAGAAACATTAATGATGAGAGTCCTCGATTGGCTGCCTCCTGCACGCCCCCTACCAGGGACCTAGCCCACAAACTAGGCATGTGCCCTTGACTGGTATCAAACCTGGGACCCTTCAGTCCACAGGCTAACGCTCTATCTTCTGAGCCAAACCAGCTAGGGCAAGATTGTTTTTTAAATATGAAATTCCATATAACATATTTCTTGAGTTGAGACCTTCTCCATTATAATCTACCTAATAAAAGAGTAACATGCTAATTGACCATACCTTCATGGCACCCACCTGTCAATCAGGAGTGAGTATTCAAAGTAACCCAACAAAGATGGTGGGTTAATTTGTATACACAGGCGCCAAACGGCTGGGGACAGGCATTCTGCACCACCCCAGCCGCTCCAGGCCTCAGGGCAGCATGGGAAGGCAGAAAGGCCACTCCAGGCTAGAGTGCTCCTGCCAGAGTAAAGGCAGTGACAGCAGCCAGGAGAAGGAAGACCCATTCTTGTATGAATCTTTGTACATTGGGCCTCTAGTTATTATTATTTTTGATATCTCCTTTTAAGTTTTATTTTAATTAGGAGACAAGTATATGAAGGTGACATGCTTAAAATTTTATGTATTCACTTGCTAAAATGGTTGTTAATAAGTTTGTGCCTCTCTGCTGTGTTTCTTTTGCCAGAATAAATGCAGCCCTAAATATTTGCTTGTCTTCTTAACTTTTTAGTATTTCAAGCAGTGACTGAGCTATGATCTGAAGGGATGACAACTCTGAATATACATTTTTCAGGTTCTGATATTTTAAGAACTGAGAGCTTTGAAAAAGAACATTGCTTTACTTCATATAAACTCAAGGCTTCTTCAAACCAAACAATATACAGCATGTATCATAAAGAAGGTTCATTCGTAGAATTCCCCAGATTCAAAGATAGCAAAGGATGAGGGAGTAAAAATTAAAGCAAATAATAGTGCTTGCTTCAAGACTGATGACTAGGCTCAGCACCATGGGGCCATTGTCTCCAGCAGTTCCACTCTTTATCTACCCCATCCTTAATTCATATCCTTGGTACCCAACAAAACTTAAAGCACTTCTCAGAAAGATTGTTCCAGAAGGAAAGGCTCACAGAATTTAAATAATTACCTATTTAACTGCAGATGACTACTGTTAAATAATTTAAATCACACTCTTCAAATGTTATTGCAGCTCTCTTATTCATCATTTACCAGTTAAACTTTCTCACCTTCTGTTTCACTTATTTTATATTTAGAAGTAATAGTGAAAAGTATTTTCCTGAACAAGACCCTTTCTATCCTCCCATCTTTCATATAAGTACAAAAGATTGCATAAATATTATGGATCAAACAACCTCCTGCTTATTTACATACCCTCAAATGCTAGTCACAGTAACAGATGAAAATCAGAAAGAAATAGCAAAGAAGTCAGTACATCTTATGTTAAAATTTGTTTGGGAGTTTCAAAATCAATGCATGAACTTGTCACGCAGCAGATGGGTCTCTAGGATGAATTTTACTAATTCTCCACAGCAGCAAGATCTTATAATCAGACTAGAGGCCCGGTGCATGATATTCATGCATGGAGGGAGGGGGTGTCCCTCAGCCTAGCCTGCACCCTCTTCAATCTGGGACCCTTCAAGGGCAGTCAGATATTCCTCTCACAATCCAGGACTGCTGGCTCCCCACTGCTCGCCTGCCTGCTTTCCTGATTGCCCTTAACCCCTTATGCTTGCCAACCTGATCACCCCCTAGCTACTACCCTGCCAGCCTGATCACCCCCTATCTGCTCCCCTGCCAGCCTGTTTGCCCCTAACTTCCCTCCCCTTTAGACCTAGTCAACCCTAACAGCCCTACCCTGCCTGCCTGATCACCCCTAACTGCCCTCCCCTGCAGGCCTGGGTTCCCCCAACTGCCCTTCCTTGCAGGCCCGGTCATCCCCAACTTCCCTCCTCTGCTGACCTGGTCACCCCTAACTGCCCTCCCTTGCATGCTTGATCGCCCACAACTGCTCTCCCTTGCAGGCCTGGTCCCTCCCAACTGCCCTCTCTTGCTGGCCATCTTGTCGTGGCTATCTTGTGTCCACATGGGGGCAGCCATCTTATATATTGGAGTGATGGTCAATCTGCATATTACTCTTTTATTAGATAGAATAGAGGTCTGATGCA